CGAACACTGACGAACAGATAAACACAGACGAACACAGACGAACACCGATGAACAGATAAACAGAGACGCGAACACTGACGAACAGATAAACGCTGACGAACAGATAAACACAGACGAACACTGACGAACAGATAAACACAGACGAACACTGACGAACAGATAAACACAGATAAACACAGATGAACAGATCAGAGATAAACACAGAGACTGCGAGGGTGATCTCGTTTCACTCTTACAGCTCGAATCATCAGTAAACGGAGACTGAATGGAAGAATCGCACTGGGCTAATCAGGTTATTGGCGTTCTCGTATCTCGTTGCATAAAATACTTTATTAAAGACCGGTTAAATAAGACGTAGATCGGTCTAATTTGAATCAGGAAAAGGCTCATTAGCCCTTGGCTAACAGCTAGTGATCAGGGTTAGTTACGTTTATGCTGCTGAATATGAATCCACTCACCAGTCTGCCGGCGACTAAACATCCGAACATCACCACGATTACTGCAGGAACACATTCGAGGAAACACCGCAGAGTGCAGCAGAACCATCAGCTCGCAGGATACTGCTAGAAACTTCCGTAAGCAGCTGATAGGCGCGACCTCTGACCCGGAAACAAAACACAGCGCGCTTCGCTGATTGGACGATCCGGCGCGGTGCGTGCGTACAAAAACAAACGAAGTGTAATTTCGTAAATATATTATATCGCAATATTTTATATGCACAATGTTTAACATAAATCTTCTAGAACAGCTTTAACACAAATACTAAAAATATCATCACACTAGTACATTCAAAAGCACTGAGGAACAGGAACAGTAGCAGAGCCCAGCTGCACTACCTCTAAACTGATCAGCGGTCTGTTGTGCATTAGAGTCATGCAGTAATCAAAATCACTCAAATCTCAACATTTATCATCATCCACTGTGCATTTACCTGTAGGTCAGCGCACAGATTAATTACAGTTTTAATTAGTAAAGCTAATAACTAATAGTTTTAGTCTGAGATAGAAATGCTCCCAGCTTAATTCAAGAAATCAGGTGAATTAGTGAAGACTTGTTCACTGTTGATCTCTATTAGTGTATAAAAAAGTGTTGGGTTTAACTCAATTAGCTTAAGAAGAAAACAAATGTTAATTTTAAAAGCTTTGGTGGGTAAATGACCACAGTATATATCTAGTTCGTTGTCATACTGCACAAATATTTAATACCAGAACAACAGATAAACTCTTAAGATGCCGATTTTTCAGTTAGGTCCATCTGTTTATTATAATTATGCTCCGTGTACGGAACGAGCTTCATCTGCAATCTGTGCCATCTCTCGCAGTTTAAAAATAGTTTAAAGTCTGTTTATATAGAAGAGTGCACGTTCTTTAGATAGGATTTGACAATATTTGCTTAAATGTTGTTCTGTAGGCCTATATACTGTTTGATGAGAAATAAAAGCACAAGTATTATATGTTTTTGGGTGGTGTAGCCTACCATCAGCAGTCTTCGCAAATATACACGATCACGACGGTGACAGACAGTGATTAACCTCATTCTTTTGTCTCGATACAGAGATACATTTGCATAGATGGACAAACAATCACCTGATCTTTTAAATGTGTCCAATAACATTTGCATTAAGCACACAGTTTGCGCTTGTCTATAGATTACATTTACATAATGCGCCTACAATAGAAATTAGATTTTTTTAGTGAAAGTAAAGGTCCCTGATTAATGAAATTGTTAATGAAATGAAATGATTGAGGAAAAAATTATTGTATTGTTGTTCAGTTTAGTTTTATTACTTTCATACATTATATACTCCTGTATAGTATTTTGTTCTAACAGCACAAATAAACAAGCTTTACATGATTCTTTGGTTCTTTTGTAGTGCAGGTATGGTGAGGTGCACTAAAACCAGACATTTTCATGCCTGTCCTCCAAATGAACACAACCTAATAAGTTTATACATAAAGAAATTCATTCTTTCCTTCATCAACTCTACGCGAGACGCAAAGTTTGCTACTTCTTCTCACTGCTGTTTCCTGATAGTTTTTAGAGGACAATTACTCCGAGTCCTTTCAAAGAATAGTACAACAGCGGAGCCAGGCGAAAATATAATACATATATACAGAAACGCTGCAGTGATTACGATCATACTGCAGACTGACAGAAGCAAATCTGATCAACACCAGCCACGATACACTCACCGCGCTCAAGACCTCGTCGCGATGGCCCTCGACACCTCCGAAGATGGCCACCAGAGTGTCTGTCTGAACGTTCCAGAGCCGCAGCGCGTGATCTGACAAACACACGGCAAACCATCAACAACCTGCTCTGAACGCACCACGCGCCGCGACATCTGCGCTCTTTACCTTTACTGACCGACAGCAAAAGGTTCGGGTCCCTCGGGTGAAATTTGAGCTCGTTGATCGCATTTCCATGGCCGACATAATGCTGCAAACGACACGAAGAAATCGGAGTAAACACACGAAGACAAGAGTGTAAACACAGTTAGAGGAGCAGCAGACGCACTAATGCAGGTCAGTTGGGCCGAGCGTCTGGACTCACTTTGACGCACTGCATGGTGATGTGGTTGATGACGCGGATGATGCCACGAGATCCGGCCACGGCCAGCAGCGGGTGACTGGTGCTCGAGTCAAAGGTCCAAGCGCAAGTGTAGAAGTTTTCATCTGCCTAGACGGCGCAAGAATCAAGGGAATAACAAAATACACCGGCCCAAATCTGCAGAATAACCTCAGATACTTCAAGATAAAACACAGCCGTCTGATGATTTTATTCTGTGTCTGAAAGGATACGTCAGCATCTACATACGACTGCAGCAGACGGATCTCTCCTTGAGAGTGACACTCATATAGAGTGACCTGCAGGAACAAGACACACCCAACATGAGGGAATCTGCAGAGAGAGCGAGCGCGTGTGAGCGTGTGAGAGCGAGCGTGTGAGTGAGCGAGTGCGTGTGTGAGAGCGAGTGAGTGTGTGTGTGAGCGTGTGAGAGCGTGAGTGTGTGTGAGCGTGTGAGAGCGTGAGTGTGTGTGAGCGTGTGAGAGCGTGAGTGTGTGCGAGCGTGTGAGAGCGTGAGTGTGTGCGAGCATGTGAGAGCGAGTGAGCGTGTGTGTGAGCGTGTGAGTGAGCGAGCGTGTGAGTGAGCGAGAGCGTGTGAGCGAGCGTGTGAGTGAGCGAGAGCGTGTGAGTGAGCGTGCGTGTGAGAGCGAGCGTGTGAGCGAGCGTGTGAGCGAGCGTGTGAGCGAGCGTGTGAGAGCGAGTGAGAGCGAGCGTGTGAGCGAGTGAGAGCGAGCGTGTGAGAGCGAGTGTGTGAGAGCGAGTGTGTGAGAGCGAGTGTGTGAGAGCGAGCGAGTGAGTGAGTGTGTGAGCGCGAGCGAGTGAGTGAGTGTGTGAGCGCGAGTGAGTGAGTGTGTGAGCGCGAGTGAGTGAGTGTGTGAGCGCGAGTGAGTGAGTGTGTGAGCGCGAGTGAGTGAGTGTGTGAGCGTGTGAGAGCGAGTGTGTGAGCGAGTGAGTGAGTGAGTGTGTGAGCGAGTGAGTGTGTGAGAGTGAGTGAGCGTGTGAGAGTGAGTGAACGTGCGAGTGTGTGTGTGTGAGAGCGTGTGAGAGCGCGTGTGTGAGCATGTGAGAGCGAGCGAGTGTGGGAGCGTGAGAGAGCGAGTGAGTGAGTGTGTGAGCGTGTGTGAGCGAGTGAGTGTGTGAGAGTGTGGGAGCGTGTGAGAGCGAGTGTGGGAGCGTGTGAGAGCGAGTGCGGGAGCGTGTGAGAGCGAGGGAGTGCGCGGGTGAGAGCGAGTGAG